TCGGAGGTGGTGGTTCAGGGAGGTAGTACAGGCGGTGGGAAAGATATCCATATTTTTTTTAATTTTTTTATGGAGTTTTACTATATTTTATTAATTTAAAAAAAAAAAAATTTTCTTATTTTTTATTTTATAAAAAATTTATTAATTTTTTATTATTTTTCTACGAATTATTGAAATTTTTTCGAATTTATTATGAATTAAACATTTAATTATGACTTTTAGCTATCTTTTACTAATATTTAAAGGAGGGGTAAGAATGGAAGGAAGAAACGAGTATGTTTCCAATAGGATCACTATGGTCCTATTTTGGAAAAAAAAACATAGCAAGTTCTATTTTGAGTTTTTGCCATAGTTTAATCTTATTGGAAGTAATTTCTATATTCATAATCGTCATACTAAAATTGGAAATGCTAAATGTGAGAAGAAAATGAAAACTGAAAATGACATTTTTGTAAATGACAACTTGCATTCAATAGATTTTGTATACTCGTGACTTAATTAGAATAAGGTTCAGCGCTTGGCTCCATAAGAGTATGTTGTAATCGTTCTAAGGCATTAATAGAACTTGACCCGCTTTACATTTCTACTCATTCCTTCTATTAGCTTAAGTACTTGTAGGCCTGTCAACGGGTCGGATACAGGCCGAAATTATAAATTCCATATCCATATCCGTTGAAATTTTTTTGGTCCAGATCCAGACCCGTTTACCTTTCGGGTCCTAAACATATGTTCCAGATTTGGGTTCGGGGGGTCTCAGATCCGGGCCGGATATACCCGCAAAAAAACTAAATGACATATGCAAACAAATATAATACGGAGCATATAACAAAAAATGTTCATGTTGGAAGAGATCATATATAAATAAGCAAAATGTTGTTCTATTCATCACTCCGTATGAACTATATAATATATACGGGGTATGTTATATGTATATTAGTAAACTCATAGAGAACCTAGAGCACTAACTCATTAGCGAAAATCACATTATAGTAGGCCAACCACTAAATAAGCCTACAAATATTAAAACATTTTTTATATTTGATTATTTTCCTTATTTTATGTTTAATTTTTTTTATGTATATTGTGTGTGTGTATGTAAAAAATTATAACTATAATTATATCATCAAAGGCCGGGTCCAAAACGGGCCGGAACTTAAAAATCCATATCCGACCCATTTTCTTTATCATGTAACGGGTTCGGATACGGATCCGGGAAACGGTTCTAACTTTAGACCCGTACCCTCAAATAAAGTGGCGGATTCGGATCGAGTCCGGATCTAGACCCGACCCATTGACAGGCCTAGGTACTTGTGCTCACAAACTTGTAATCAACTAGATCATTTAAACATACCCAATCCATCAACATCTAACGAAAGACCAAAGGAAAGTGTTGAACACTTGGACCGAAAGGATCAGAGGAACAAACCTCAACATACATACTTTATACTTACATATTTCCTGGCCTTTTTGTGTTATCCTAAAAATTGATGGTTATGTTTACTTTTTTGACAAATGAACATATAAATTCAGAACTAAAAGGAATTTAGAACTCTATACAATAAGTAAATAAATAATACGTAGTAGTATACAATTAGTATGTGCATTTATTTCTCTTTTGGACGTGCATATTGGTTTTTTTCTGCCGACAGTTTTGTAAAGCTTTTACTGGCAAACATCCTGCAGTTGCATTATTCTCAAAGAGTTCTTAAATTGGAATCAACGTTATTTGCTTCTAAAATTATTACTTCTATACGATTATCCAGCTCTAATTTCGCAAATATCGGAAGATGTCTGCTAGTGTAGATTTCTAAATCTAAGCCTAAGCACGATATTTATTTATAATAATCAGCAGTTTGAAATGACAAAGGATGGTTCGCGCGTTTATTTAAGATATTTTGTTTTTGTGCTTTCGATCATCAATAACTCCGTATAAGAAAAAATGCTTTGTCATTATTAATTCCATTAGTCAACTAATCCGTCGCCGGTCGCTATATTATAGGCCTAGGAGCGGAAAATAAAAATAGGCCTAATGTTGTAAAAAAATTGTAGAACCTTTTTTCCATCCAAACTGACATACATAATAATATAATGATAATAATATTCATGACATTTATAAAAAATTGCAGGATCCTATTTTGTATGTCTAAACCAATCATATTATAGATTGGTGATCTGTATTTAGGAAGAAAATAATGGTGATACTATTTGTACACTTTACCAAAGTTTAAGTCATATTTAAGGAATTAAATCTATTATTATCACCTCCTAAATTTACCTCTCCAATGATGTAATCATTCTGAATCATTTCGTTCTGAATCATTTCGTTTTTAGTAGCTAAATTATTGTTCTTACATGAGTTCTCATCTTGAAGAGGACATTTAAAATTTGACTTCTTTACACAAATCAACTTTTCCAATTAACTTTTTTTTTACTTAACGCCGCTTTCTCTAATCTTCTCCTCCTTTTTATTTATCATATTCAGATTCAATCCTTTTTATTACACCTTGAAATTAATGAAACTTATAAATTTTAATATAATTGAAAATGTTTGTCTAACAAAATCAACAAGTTATAACACAAATTGAAATTCAATAGAAAACAATCAACAATTAAGAATCGCCCTATCAACTACGAATGAAATTAATTAATAATCAAATAATCATATCGGATTGATCTGCTTTAATCGGAATGAATTAACTGACTTCTGAATTGAACTTTAAGTTGATTTTTTTACACAACCTACACTTCATAGAAAACATGATCATAAGTTTTCACCAAAATTAAATTCATTCCGAAGAACTTCAACAAATTCCACCCGAAAAGTTGTTAGTTTAGGGCTGAAAAACCAGCCTACTCACACCTATTACAAAGAACTAAACTTGGGCCTATTTTTTACCCATTTTTTTGGGCCTAGGGTGCCCGCCCCCCTTGCACCCCCCTAGGGCCGCCCCTGAGCGGTCCTATGATAATTTTATCCCCTGTGTTCCAAAAAATTGGGTCCCAAACTCTCGATCTCAAAGGTTTCTAAAGCATTGACTCCACAAGATATTTGAAAGATTATAAATTATGGTTACTTGGTTAGTTCAATGATAATAAATCTCATACTCATGCATGCGTATCAGATATCCAAACCAGCACATGAATTGTAACTTCTACACGACCGCTGCAAGTTTCAATTGAGCTACCCATGTAGGTTGACCATTTTATTCCCACACCCAGGGAAAGGCGGAGCAGTGGGGTAGATATCCGTCAATCCTCATACCCCTCAACCTAACCCCTACATATATAATCTGACATTTTATAAAAAAAATTACTCAAAATAAGAATAAAACATAGAGACAATTCTAAAATAAGAATAAATATATTTCCTTCTCAAATATATGATTTGTGTAATTGTATTGAAATACGGAGTAATAAAAGTATAAAAGATTCCCTAAATAGGAGTATACAAGTCATGTTTTGCGAATAAAACAATGATACCTTTATTTGAGAAAATTTGTTATTTTTAACTCCTATTTATGGAATCCACTAATACTATCTATTAGTTTTTTTGAAGGTATACTATCTATTAGTTAATCTTCCTTTTATACATACTTGTACATTATAATTATAACTTAAACCAACTCTAATTACACAATGTCAACCTTTGTGAACATCCCTTCCCTAGCCATGCATAACTTTGCTCCGATCCAATTGTGTTCACCTTTGTGCCCACCCCATCCTAACCGCCTCATAAATATTGGGCTTATTTGACATTTAGCGGTTAACAGTTAACAAATAGCGCAATATGTTAATTAGCAAGTTATCAATAGCGAATTCAAAAGACAACTTTGACTAGTAGAATAAGTTGATGGATTGCCAAAAGATATTTGGTAATTTAGTTTTTTTTGCCATAACAATTAGTAGAAAATGACGCATTTCAAAATGCTAACCCAACATTCACGTATTTGCGGCGTTTCCATTTCAGCGATTCCGTCCAAAAACGATAGAGGCGAATAACTATTTACCAAACATCATTTTCACTTATTAAATACACTAAGAGGTCAAAATGTCATTTTTTTAGTTGAAAAGCTATTTTTCAAACACTCCTATTATTTTTTCTTATCTTTAAGTTCCCTCTAGAACCAACCATTTATTCATCGGACCATAAGCCTTAGGGAGTGTTTGCGATTGCTTCAACTTTAAAAAAGTGATTTTTTAAAGTAATTTTGGGAAAAGTGATTAATAGTAAAAGTTGATAGTGTTTGAGAAAAAAGTGATTCTGAAAAAGTAAAAGTTGGTAGTGTTTGGTAAAATAAGTACTTTTTGTGTAATAGAAAAAGTGAAAAGCAGTTTAAAGCACCCTTCTACCTGCTTCCAGCTTTTAGCTTTTAAGTGATTAATTTAAGCAGAAGCTATCATTTGAAAACACTCTTTTCAGCTTTTTTTAAGCTAAAAGCTGAAAAGCGCTTTTTTTAAGCAAACAAAAACACTCCCTTAGTGACAACTCCTTTACTAGGTTGCATTTTTGAAACGTTGTGATTCCAAAATCCCATTTTAAAATATGTTTTCACAAGAACCCTCCTATTTAGTAACTACAAATATTCAGTTTGACAGGTTAAGTAATAATGAAAGTTACATAATAAACCGGTGGGCGTAGCTCAACTGGTAGTGAGGGAGTGCCACAAGGGTTAGGTCCCGGGTTCGAATCCCGGCAACTGCGATGAGAGGTTACTCAACATAGGGCCTCTGCAAGTACCCGGGGACGGGGCGTCATTCTGTATCTGTCAGATTGTGATTATAGTCCAATTTACATCCTCCCATCGTGCCGTCTGGTCGGTGTTAGATGGCCCTTAAGGATGTGGTGTCATCCTTTTTAAAAGTTACATAATAAAAGATTGTACTTTTTTTACAGTACAGTGGTAAATCAAGCCTAATTCGGTCCATTTAAGTCTGATTTAATTTGATTAGATTTGTTTAAATATGATTTTATACGGAGTATGATTTTGTAGATGTTTGGTTTCCTTGTTACCGGAATCAGACCCGATCCACTCCATTTAAGTTTGATCAGATTTTATATCTGATGGGTTCTATTTTGATGTGGTATGCTCTAGTTTGGGAATTGGGACCCAAAGTATAAACCACCTATTGATCGGTTGGATGTGAAAAAATGTCACCATTTATCTGATTACCAGGCTTTTTTTTTTTTTTTTACCCATCCCTAATAACCATTTTCACCAGTAAGCTGCGGAACCACATCCTAAAATCAGCGAAGAAATCACTCCAATCAGGTCAGCTAAGCAATTACTTATGGAAGTCTTTCATTTGTTCAAAGTATCTTTTCAGTTTTCTGAAAAATTGAATCTTCTTTGACGTGAGTATTTATTTTCCTGCCCACTCTATCTGCAGTCTTTTATTCATTCACAATATTTGATAATCTGCATACCTCAAATACGAATAGTGAAAAAGTTGAAAACTTTGACCTCATTTAAGCTGGTTAACGCGTAGCTAAAATTATCTGGAACAAATAGAGAAATTGGCATTTGAAAGAGATGAAAGTTTCGGATGATGATATTGTTTTGTATGTTCTAGTTGGCAGCAATACAGAGTGACACTGACCTGCTTTATCCAGTACACAGTTTCAGATGGAGCCATATAGGTATGGATTTTCAGGCTGCTATATTATTGCTTCGTTTTGTTATCCTTGTATTGTGATTTGATTATCTCAAGTCTCCGTATTAATAAAAATGTAATTACTACCTGAGTGCCAAAAAAGAGCAAAGAACAATGTACAGCATCTAAAGTTCTAAACTTGTCTGGCACTCTTTTATTTAGCAAGTTTTGGTAAATCATATGAAAAATAGATTCTTTAATTGAACTGGACTTTTGTGGGAAATAAAATACATTTGAACATCTTTTTTGGGGTGCATGGATTAATCATAGCTATATCTTGAAAATTGAATGTTTTCCAGATTGAATTCTCCACACACATCTGTAATCATGTTTGAGGCTCTAGGATACCAACTTCAGTTTTCTCAGGTAATCAGTCTTTTGGCTGCATACCAATTGATTTGTATTATTATGTAATCATCATTTTATATGCTCTTTATATTTTAGTTTAATTGATTCTATTTAAAGTTAATACTCCGTATCTTTTCCAGTTTTCCTTTTGTGTAATAGTATTAATGTTCACTCTTACATTGAAGTTCTGGTGTGCACCGGATGGTTGATTGGAAACTGATTTTGTGCAGTCAAAATTACCCAAACCTCATTTTTATAATTTCTTCTTGTTGGCAAGTTGGTGATTCAGAAGTTAATAACTTTTCCCTTTTTTCTTTATTAGTTATTATGTAATTACTAATGTTCACTTTAAATAGAGAGGTCTACTCTTAAGTGTCTGCCTTTTCCCCATTATTGTGGCAGGATCCTAATTCCAAGCACTTGGGGACAACAGTTTGGGACGCATCAATGGTATTGGTCAAATTTTTGGTAAGATTTCTTCATCCTTGTTGAAATGTTTAACTTTTGAGCTTAGAATGTTTCAAGTCCTTCAGAGCCTTTTTCATCTCCAATAAAACATAAGTAATTTAAGAACATAACTATCATAAATGAAATATAGGAGAAAAATTGTCGGAAAGGACGGTTTTGTCCAGCCAAATTGAAGGGAAAGCGTGTGATTGAGCTTGGAGCTGGCTGTGGAGTAGCTGGATTTGGTAAAGCTAATTCTTTGCTTCTCTCCTCAATTGGTTCCATTTATGCTCTATTCATATTTCATATGGTCAATATGAAACTGAGGTGGACCCACCTTTCTAGGCATGGCATTACTTGGATGTGATGTTGTTTCGACAGACCAAATAGAGGTGTTGCCATTATTGATGAGAAATTCTGAGCGTAATACTTCTAGAGTAATGCAGACGATATCTGATCCAGGTATCCATCCACAACCAGTGTTATCTTATGGTTCTTAGGATTAAAATTAAGGTTGCTCCTTTTGACAAAATCTCTATCTTTACTTTTGAATATATAAGCACTGCTCTGACTCCTTTTACCAAATAGATAATTTAGTGCTTTCACCCCCCCCCCCCCCCCCCCCCCCGGTAAGAAAAGTCATAACTTTTTATTGTCTTATTGTTTGTCAACTCAATCAAGGTTAGAACTTCTACAAATCATGAATGGTCCAACATTTTATCTCTAGAACTTATTTCCATTTTTTTGAGTTACCGGCTTAAGTCCCTTGCTGCTTGGCTTACATGAATTTAATGTGTACTTTTCAAATCAGATTTTTGTTCTGTTTATGGGACAGAGAGAGTATATTTGAACTGTGAGTGTGCCTATCATTTTGGCCTGACATAGAATCATGTTTTGCTTTTAGATTCATTTGGTTCCATAAAGGTTGCGGAGTTGAATTGGGGTGATGAAAATCACATAAAAGCTGTTGAACCACCATTTGACTACATCATTGGAACAGATGTTGTGAGTTCCGGAACATCATTATTTCTTCTTCTTAACTTCCATTGTAGCACTCTAACAAATAGAACTGTTGAGACTTCGATTGAATTGCTTGTTGAAGCTTAAGAGACTTTAATACCATATTAGGATGTGTGCTAGCGACCTCTAAGTTGGAGCATCTAATGCGTTAAATGTGGGTTTATATTTTTGCATGTGTCCGATGTGAAAGTCTCAAGAATTAGATTAACAAAAATCCCAATTAATCTCTGTTATTTGGAATCAGTAGCCCACGGCTTTACTATTTATCATTTTCTACCTCCTCTGCCGCTTTTAACATACACGCACTACCTTCTTCCTTGTGCTAACTAGGTTTATACAGAACATCTCTTGGAACCACTTTTGCAGACAATTCTTGCACTGTCGGGACCCAAAACAACAATTTTGGTATTGCAATGTTAAACTTGCTTAGAATCAAGCACATCATGTTCTTTTCATTTAAGTCAGTTAATGTCTTATTCTCAATATTGCAGTTAGGATATGAAATTCGTTCAACTAATGTCCATGAAAAGATGCTTGAAATATGGAAGAGAAACTTTGAGGTGAAGACAGTTCCAAAAGCAAAGGTAGTGGCTAGTTGTTTCTAAATATTTGTGCTATCTGCCCAAGAAATGAAACACTTTTGGTGAACTATAACGAGTGTAAATTGGTAAATGATAACCTCGTTAGTGAACTAAGGCTCTAAGGTGTTGCTCTTGTTCTTATTTCTCTTGTTTATTACTTTACCTATTCTAATAGACTAGACCAACAATATTTAGATAAAAGTAGACCAAAGCAAAAGTCTCAAAGTGACCAGAAAGATCCCAAACACTGAGATGAGGTGTGACTAGAAAGAACCAGATCAGTTTTTTTCAGGTGAAGAAAATACGTCCTAACTATGCTCACAATCTCAAACATTTATGAGTCCCAATATCCATGCTTATAACTTTTTTGTAGTACCCTATTAGAACTTAATGATTCATGGTGAAATACTAATATGATAGGTACAAATCTAAAGTTCTAAATGGTTTCTTATGTTATATTTAGTCAGTGTTGACAAATTCATTAACTCCTTCAAGGCTAGGCACCTCACATATCCGGACATTGCTATTTTATTTTTATACGTAGTATGTTATTTTCTCAAGGAAACATTCTGTCATAACCCGGCACCTCATGTAAACTGTGCATGTTTTTCTCATAGAAGCGTACACTTCTCAAGGATCGACATATTGTCTGAATTATACGGAGTACCATTTTTATGAGGGTAATTACCAATGTTCCGACACCTCATATGTTTTGAAGCATTTTTCCCAATAGACGTATACACTTCACAATCTGACACTTCAGACTGGTTTTTTTTAATACGAGACCTACATCATCGCTATGGGCATGGTTGGTTGTGGTACCGTACTAGGATTTTGGGTTGAATCTGAAAAATGAAGCAATCACCTTGCTTGTAGATGGATGTGCCAACTTAACATACTCTTTAACATACTCCATAATGATGCAATGTGTTTTTATTTATTATTTGGAATCAATTACCTTCCTTGTAGATGGATAGTGACTACCAGCATCCAAGTATCCAACTGTTCATAATGAGCTTAAAACCATCTGGAGGGATCTCAGAATGTACTTCACAAGATGATTTGTCTGCTCAAAAGATGAAGTTGGCTGGATACAAAGAACTCCAACATGAATCAGATGAAGAAGAAGATGATAATAATAGTTTCAAGGTGGATGATTTGCAAGGCAATGAAGGCGTAGGGGATGAAAAGCTAATCGCTGATCTGGAAAATAGAAAGCTCAGTGAATGGGAAACACGCAGATATGGTGCTGTAGCTGCTCGGCTTCTACGTGATATCAAGATCACATAAATTAGTGGAGCTATCTTATCATCAGAAGCACTGGGGAGCCTTTTTTTCTTCTCCCAATTTTCAGTAGCCAACAGCGTGTGTTCTGAACTTAATTGTTGCAATTTGCAAACTAAAGTTATGTACCTTCCATCTTGGAGCTGTACCATGATACTTTGGTTAAGACAATTTTAAGACCTAAATTCCATTTTAAAAGATCAAAATTAATAGGGACCATCTTGTATTTGGCCGTGGGGGCAATTTTTTCTCAAGGACAAAAATGTTAATGAAAAAAAAAACAAAATGTAGAAGTTTTGAACATGAGTTCCACACTTTATGGGGGTAAAACTTTGGCTTATATTTTCTCCACTCAAGAATGAAATCTCTATTGGTATTAAAGATAGAAAATGGGAGAGGAAAAGTAGAAAATGACAATGATTACTACCAAGTTTGAAAAATATCACCATGTTTAAAGTTTGGTATTGCCAAAACAGGTCAATAATTAGTCATATTTTAGGAATAAAAACATGATAATCCTATTTAGTCCTATTTAGGTTAATTTTCCTAAAATTTACACTGTATAAGATATTTGTTCAAACCCATTTCATATTTACTCTATCATTATATAAACACCAAGAAATCTAGCAATGTGGGAAAAATTAAGAAACCATTCATATTTCACTAACTTCGGCATTTTCAAGCCAAACATACAAAAATGAATTCATTAACATTATTTCCAATCCTACCCTAAGAAAAGAGGTGCCATGAAAAGGCAAGTGATATTATTAATATAGTTACAAATATACAATACATTTTTGCATACTGAGGGAGTAAAACAGAAGGAAAATTACACATTTGGTTGAAATGCATCCAGCAAGCCCTAAACAGAAGCAACAAGTGACTTCCTATGAACACGGTTGCTAATAGAATGTAGCAACCCAGACCAAATACTAAACTTATTACTATGATGATGTTCCACAACAGAAAACTGGTCCAAATACAATCCCACATAAGAAATAAGAGGTTCTTCTCTACACTTGTCAATGACAAGTCTTATGCTACTTGTTTTCACCATCTGAAACAACAGAAGCCTCCTATACCCAATTGTACTTCCATTTACAGTGTCCTCCCATTCCCCTCTTTCATTCAACACATCAATATGGAATGTGATGACCCGCTGCCCCATATGAATTGGCTCTTTAATTTCAAACACATTGAATGTATACTGTTCTTGAAAATCCAGATACAATATATATTCTGATTGATCCCGCTCTGGGGCCCAGTAAGTAAAGATCCCTTCTTTAAGAACGTTTTCAGGGGCAAAACGGATATCACTTACACCTCTAGTACTGCTTGCAGAAGGAAAGGCACTTTTTGCCAGGTTGTGGGAGAAAATGGATGTCCTGATCTCAGAGAACTCTCTGAGAACTAGTATGTCTTCATCGGATATAAGGCCAGAAGTGTTTGGTGGTACGTTTAGCAATAGGAGGCAGTTTCTGCCAACTGATTTGTAGTATAAGTCCAGAAGGTCCATCGCGGTCATGGGAATCTCTGATGCGTGCCAAAACCAACCGGGTCGTATTGAAACATCACATTCAGCAGGCACCCAATCGTGGCCTGCAGGGTCACCTTGTCCTAGATATCTGTTGGGAGATCATTAGAAAAAGAAAAGTTAACTGCGTCTGCCTCCCTTGAGACTGGATCATCAATTACAAAATAACCCGAGGTTTCAGCTGATTATTTCATTTCACGAGTAAATATTCCTCAAACAGCACTAAGGGTATAATGATATATGGAGTATGCATTAAGATTACTCCGGAAACAGTCTATGTGAACTTTAGTACAGGGGTAAGGCTGCGTAGATCTGACCCCCTTACTCCACTGTAGGTGGGGAGCCTTTGCGGCACTCGGGTAATGTTGTTGGAGTAGGCATTCAAAACATAAAAAGATTACTCCAAGACCTCATTTGTTTGTTTGCATCTTTATGTTCGGCCAATCTGAGATGACTTAACAGTGTAAATTGGATTTTACCTGACGTCTCATAGTCTTTTCAAGAGAAAGTATTAAATGCTTCAGCTGATAGAATGCATTTAAAACAAAAATTTTGATCTGAAGATGCTTACATTTTATAATCTTTTGGTGCTAAAAGGGTTATTTGGGGGGAAATGTCATTCTTTAAGGAGCTTATTTGTAATTGTCAACAATATTCAGGGATGTCTATGCAATTAGCCCAAAAAAGAAGTAAAAAGAATAATTTCAGTCTTTACATGCCACACTGAATATTTGACGATTTTCCTACATTCAATCAAGAAATTCGAATGCAGTACTTTAAAGAAAGACGCGATAATGTCATTGGAGTGATATAGGAAAAGAAAACTCACTCGGTATCGTTTCCACCTATGGTTGCATTACTACAATTGAAAAGGGACCAACAAGTAGTGGGGGCAATGCCAGCTTCATCTCCTACCCATCTGGTATCAGGGCCAGCATCGGAGAAAATCGCAGCCCCGGATTGGTACTGATGAATAAAGCTGAACCAATCATCAAAGTAATACTCCATATCCTTCTCATTCTCTCCTTTTGCACCATCCAAGAATATTTCTTTGATCTCCCCATATCTACATTATATATAGTTCTTATGGCCATCAAATCTAGCACTTCTCAAACCAGTTAAGACTTCTCTCATTAAAAAAATAACTTAAGTAAGTTCAAAAAACTCCAACAATGAAAAAAGGCTGGACTCCAAAAAAGGTAATCAATCATAATGATCCAATATCATTTTAGTTAACTCCAAAAAAACAAAAAACATAGAACTCAAGCAGTAACTTTTATGTATGCTAGGAGATGAGCAATATCGTGATCTTATAGAGTTATAGGTTCAATGCTACACATTAATCTAAAAATAACCGACAACATGTAGGAGTTGTAATTAATCTAGATAATCTACTACTACAAAAAAAACCGACAACATATAAGAGTACCATAATTAAGATCTAATACTATTTTAGATGCATTCCAGAAAATCAAAGGCATACCAGAGCAAAAATTAAAGACTCAATCTCAATATATGCATATTTTAAAGCTAATTCAAGTCAACCAAATATAAAGATACAAACTTTCATACAAGAAAGTGTTATTTCTATCAAGATACCAGCATCAAGTCTCAAAATGAGTTTACAAATTCATATACATTGGACTGCGAGTCTTAGTCTACATAGAGGAATGCGAGTAACTTTTTGATATGAGATATTTCAACAACAAAAAGTTGTACCTGGTAAGTAATTCAGCCATCTGTCCCAAATAGTACTCATTATAATCAAGAGTCACCCCATATGTAGGCTCATGTCTGTCCCAAGGAGAAAGATAAAGACCCAATTGGACACCAACAGCATTTGCAGCCTGAGCCAACTCACCCACCACATCTCCAGACCCATTTCTCCAAGGACTAGACTTGACAGAGTAATTAGTGTATTCTGAAGGCCAGAGGCAAAACCCATCATGATGCTTCGCAGTGAGAATCACTCTTGAAAACCCATTCTCCTTGGCAACAGTTACCCACTGGGTGGCATTGAGATTAATCGGGTTGAATATTGACGGGTCGGCATGACCCGTTCCCCATTCCGAATCGGTGAAAGTGTTGGGTCCGAAGTGGAAGAACATGGCCATCTCCGAAAGCTGCCATGAAAGCTGCAGTGCTGAAGGGACGGGTAGAAGTGGGACTGGGGGTGGCTTTAGGTTTGCGGCGGCGAAGGAATGTGTGGACTGAGAGAGTAGGTGGCTAAGGACGAGGAGGATGATTCTGTTTTGGATGTTCCGATAATGTTTTGCCACCTTCATCTTCGCCTACCGTACATTACGCTGGAACTAAACTTTAAAAAACGAAGTAAAATTCTGTTTGCCCACCCCCTTTGAGATACTCGGTACTACAAGTATTTTTTGGGTCTTCAAACTTTTAAAGATGTTCCGATTTTGTCATTTTCCTTGAAAATTATTAATTTTTGCTTCATTTTGTTTTCCTTATTATGTAAAACATTTTATCATTTAATTTTTACTTTTGTTATTTTCCTGAAATCGAGATAGTATTTTATTCATGAAAGAAAACCTTCAAATAAGTCTTCCTCCTATTTGATAAGTCTTCCAATTGAGGTAAAAGTCATTTACTTGTAAAAAGGTTGAGACAACCTCTAACGAATTTTCATTAAGCATTTTTATCTGCTTGAATGCCTTGAAAGGTGAATCTATAATAAAGGTTACGGTTACCCCTATTGGCTGGTTTCATTCTATATTCATCATTACAATTTGGTAAAATTTAAAGACAGCATAAAATTATGAATTTAGTGTTTTTTTAATACATTTCACTCTTTTAACTAATTTTCTTATTAGGAGAGAAATGATTGGATGTTTAGGTAGAGAAATAAAGGGCGAGTATGATATATGATTTATAGGAGAGATAGAGTGAAAAATGGAGAAATGCGATTGGGAGGAATATAAATGCGTTTTTATAGGTTTGCGTGTTTGATTAGACATTTTTTTGCGTGTTTGTTTAACTTTTAAAATGAAGTCATTCTACACCACTTTTAGAGTTAAGACATTTTGGCAAGTCTTAAACTCTAGAGTCTAGGCGTTAGAACTATCTCTAACAACCGCCACACTCACACCATTCCAACATAATGAATGCTTTAACAAAATTCGCACATACTAAGAGTGACATCAGTGGCGGAACTAGGGGAGGCGAGCCGGTGCCCCCCCCCCATTCGCCGATGGTGGTAATGTGTGTGTGTATATATATATATATAATAGAGATCTGTTGAGGTTTATTCCTTCAACCTTCAGGCCCAACACGTAAGCCCAAAGATTTCGAGTGGAGTGCGTGTGAACAAACTAGCCCAACAAGCAGATGATAGGGGTCAAGAAACAATAAAGTAGCAAGTAAGTGATTAGATATTATTATCTCTTAATAACTCCCTAATACAATACTTTTTGCTAAGGCTCCGTCGGCCGTTCGTCTTACAAGGCAGTAGAAGTGCTGCGAGTAAGAATACTATAGCTAGAGTGCTAAGAATAGAAAGTTGCCAACCCTTTACAATGAAATAAATGCTTCTATTTATACCCGCCAATGGGCAGGTGGCTATGCTGACGTGGAGGCCTGTGGACCGCTTGTGTCCCAACCACCAAATCTTCTGCATTAAATGCACTTCCCGCCAGAATCTAGGTTTCCTGCCTAAATAATGGGAGATATCCAGGATCATAAAAGCTTTATACCCAGCGGATCGA